ACATGTGACATTCATCTTAGTCACAAGACAAACACAATATGTCAGACAAGGTAAAAAAGATATCCAAACCTACCTGGCCCTGTGTGAAACAGTAATTACCCCCAAAAGCTAATAACTGGTTTTGCCAACTTTAAAGACCTGCAATAAAGTGTTTTTGATAACTGGCAATGAGTCCGTCACTTTGTTGTGGAGGAATTCTGGCCCACTTTTCTTTGCAGAATTGTTTTAATTCAGCTACAGATTTGCCCGAACAGCTTTGGTACACCTTGATTCTCAAACTCTCAGTGAATGGCTCTCTTGAGATCAGTCTACAACTTTTTTACATGGGTTGTACTCTGATATTCTGAACTCTACAAAATATGATTTTTTTAGGGGTTCCAGGGGGGTGACTCCTGTGATTGTAGAAAGAAGTCACATTCTACATTCTACATTAGTCGATGGGGAAATAGCCCCAACTCCCCAGTGCAGATCCATCTAATGACAACGATAATGATGGTGATTTTAAAGACTTATGGAATCCATAAAGCATGTGCAAAGCAATTTTTCAAAGATTCAAGTTTTTAATCAAAGCTGATATTAACAATTTGATGTTGAATATAAAGCAAACATGAAATTGAAGGACCTTCATTGGTAGTTTCTGCTACATACCAAACATATGTAGAGGTGCACTTTAATGTACAACAAGAAAATTGCACAACTGAAAAAGATAATAATAAAATAGTATTTTTAATGCACTTTGTCCGGCTGGTGCAATAAGAGCATAAAGTAATGCAATACAGAGGTTGTGCTTATTGCATGTTTCGGTACTGCCCATGGTAGGGTTGTGTTGGATGTATCACCTGTTGGAAAATGGACAGCATGTTTTCTTATTTGAGTTATCTGATTTGATCAGGGGTTGTCAAAGTGACGAAGGTTGGTTGGAGCATTTCCAACATTCCCAACCCAAGCTCAGAGAGGTCTGACATGAATCATAAATGACAGACTTTATTGTGTCTCAAACACAGGCATTCTCATGACATATAACTGACCCACGTGTTCAATCATGAAACATTTGGAAACAATGTCCTGGGATGTTATTGCACACAGTTCATTTGAGTTCCTCACTTTTACAAGGAATTTTGCGATGTTTGTGTTGATCTGTGTGTCCTGGATAGTTGGCTGTCTGGTTAGTCGCTGCAGCTGCTTGCCGAAAAAGACCAGTTCTCTGCAGGAGCAGTCGGGCTTTCCTTCACAGCTGCAGGGTTTCGGTACAACGACCAAGGACTCCACCACGGCAAAGCAACTGCTCGTTTCTATTACTGAATTGTTTCTTTTTAATGTGCCACTGCACTCCAAACTAGTGACCAGCATGTTCTTATAAACACAACGCTTATATTCGGTTACACTGTCACGATGTGGCTGGCACCACGAAAGTGTTTCATTCTTCTGCAACGCTGCAATTTCTCTTGGTGTCAAAACTCTCTGAGAGCCACTTCCCAGAGTCACTAACTCTTCTCCAATGTAATTTAATGACTTTGTAAAACGATCACAACTTGTCATGGAACAGAAGAAGTCTTTGATTTCTGTGCTGGCGTCCTGAAGGGTAGCACTTCCTTGTCTTATTATTTTCTCATATGAAAAGAAATTCTTGAAAATCTGTAATGAAATTGACTGCGTACCAGAGTACATCTGCAACAG